TGAGAATGAACTAAAATAACCTTGTTAAAGGTTGGATCATGGCTTTCCAGTGCTTTCTGTTTTGATCCACTGTCTTCAGGGCAATCTGAAATTCTTGAAATTATATACGAAATAACCAATTTAGTGAGATGTTCACAAAATCGATTAAGTGAAGAATTGTTGCTTATGTTTTTTAGAGGCTGTTTTGATTCATAGATTTTCCTTGACGGTGTGGAAACAATAGATACGTTTTCATCATGAAGACCTTAAAACAGAAAATACTGCTATTTTCAATATGCATTAAGGAAAAATGTTGACCATTCAAAATACTGACAATATTTTACATATGAAGTTCACCTTGGGTGCACCTCACTCAAGAAATAGAAAAATCTAGCCAAGTCTTCAAATGTCTATTTCCCATCTGTGGAATCCTTACTTCAGCTAGGAAGTTAAGAAGATAGCCTAGCAGTGCCGGGCGCGGTGGCTCACGCCTGTAATCCTAGCTCTCTGGGAGGCTGAGGCGGGCGGATTGCTCAAGGTCAGGAGTTCGAAACCAGCCTGAGCAAGAGTGAGACCCCGTCTCTACTATAAATAGAAAAAAATTAATTGGCCAACTAGTATATATACAAAAAATTAGCCGAGCATGGTGGCGCATGCCTGTAGTCCCAGCTACTTGGGAGGCTGAGGCAGCAGGATTGCTTGAGCCAGGAGTTTGAGGTTGCTATGAGCTAGGCTGATGCCATGGCACTCACTCTAGCCTGGGCAACAAAGTGAGACTCCGTCTCAAAAAAAAAAAAAAAAAAAAGATAGCCTAGCAGAATTGTGATCTCTAATTGCTGGTTTCTTCCTTGAATACCTGTGTTTAAGAAGCTGGAAATCCTAAGGCCGAGAAATGATTTCTAGCTTTAGTGTTACAGTGTCCTAGAAGGATTCCAATGACTTCTGGAGACCTCATATAATCCTTGAAAAAATTTTCAGCGATTCATCTAATTATCCTATTTAGTATATATTAAATTGAACTGAATGAAACTGCTGATGTTTGACAGTTTTTGACATACAGAAATGGCTATTTCATATGGTTCAATCCAATTTATGTATGTAAGGATTCATTCATAGACAGGAAGCGCAAATACCATCTCTGTGAGTATGGGCTTATGGCTTTACAGCTAAAAAGAATTTGTCAGACACTGGAATGTGAGCAGAACAAGAAATTTAATGCCATTGTCCTTGTAAACTCTGCCAATAATAATGGCAATGACTTTAACTATATACCTCAAAAAGAATTTGGATCATCACTTTGCCATTAGTTATCTACACATGAGGTCTGACTATAATGTAAGAGGTCTTTTTTGAACAACCATTAAAAACCCCCCTTGGAACTTCATTTTGGAAATTTCCTTTAGAGCAGTTGTATGTACCATACAAGGAAAGTGGTCTTATCATTTTAAACATACCTTGTGCCCCAACCAAAATCTCCTGCTTTAAATTATTCCTGATTACTCTCATCTGTAGATAGAGAAAACTGAACAACATCCCTCGAAATAAAAATTGTGAAAATGCATAACATTTTTTCTTTTTGGATGCTGACCAGTTGAAAAACACACAAGCCAGTGAATGCAGCTTCTTGCATAGGAGAGAAAAAACAAAATTCTTAAAATTATCATTGATTTCTTCCCTAAAATTGTATCTATTCTTTATAAATCATCTCTCACTTACCAATGGTTTTGAAGTTCTTGAAACGTGTGACCAGAGATGTAGTAACATATCTTGCTACTTGATGGATTTCATTTGGTCCCAGTTCTTGTTCTGTAAAAGCAATGACTTCAGCCTCTTCAAAGGTTGCAATTTTCTGTAACCATGGGGACTTCTTTTCCCACTTTTTCAGTAAAGTGAAATCTCCACTTGCCTCAAGCGTTTTGTTTTCTTTTTCTGTTTTACAGGTGATTCTTTCTTCCCCTATTTTAAACAAGCCTTTCTCATCATTGTGTTCTTCAGACATCCCAGAGAAAGCTGTTTCCTTCGATACAAAAAATGGCTTCATTCTTTCAATACTTTCATTAGTGTTTGTGGGTGAACCTGGAAGGCCATAACTCAACAGTATGGTATTGACGATATTTTCTGCAGCTAAACATATTTTGAGTGGAGAAACAGTTGTCTGTATTTGGTTTGAGTCAAGCATTCTTTGTTTTTCACCTTCTTCCATTTCCCTAAAGGACATGGAGTGCTCTAGTGCTGGTTGTGCAGAAACACTGGATTTGTGAGATAGTTTTTGTAAGACACTGTCTTTGGGGAGAGGACTGTTTCCATTCATGGCTTGATCAAAATGGCCGATGTCTTGGGCATCACTTGTATAGTATGATGATTTAAGTTCTGATTCACACCTTCCCATCGCATCGGTGGTTTTAGTTGTATATCCCGCAGAGTATCTAAAATATGAAGGTAAATTTGAGGAAGCCCTGTCCTTTCTTTTCATAGCCTCCTCTGAATAAAACGCCAAGTCAGGGATTTGTGGAGGATCATCCTTGCAGCTAACTCCCTTTAACTTTGAAGTCGGCTTTTCCATGTCATTTGTGAATTTGGCCCAATTAACAGTGTAGGCATTTTCAGCTCCTTGAAATAGATTTTCTTTTGGATGCTTTCTGATCAACGAATCACAGACATGCATACACTGCTCCATAAGTGTGCCAATGATCTGACTTATTACAGTGTTTTCTTCGGATACACTAATCGAAAATGGTTCCACTTGGTGTTTTTCTTTGTCGAGGTTGTTCTTAATTATGCCAAGCATGCTATTGACAGTATTAACAGTATAAGTAGGCAATTCTGAATGGAATGACTGAAGCTGTCGTAGTGTTTCCTGTATGTTTTCCTGAGAAATCATAGTATTTGACTTAGATCCATCTGGGAACTTTTCCAGTGGTTGTAATTTTGGCAATATTTTTTTCGTTGATGGTTTCTGTTGGACAGCAAAAAAGTTTTCAATAGGTATTTTCACAATGTCAGAGAGAGCATAGGTGGAAACATGCTTAAACTGTAGGTCTACAAACAACTCTAAGGTGTTTAGAATTCCTTCAATGATCTCTTGAGCAATTTGGTGGCCGGAGCCCACACAAACTTTGTCTTTTAATTTTGCATTATAGATTGCTACATTGTTGGTGCTGTTTGTCCTTCCTAGAGCTTGTCTTTTTCTTACTTGAGTTTCTTTACTGTCTGTTATGAACATCGGAGTCAAGAAGCACAGCTCTAATTTTTCGAGTAGCATTGCAACAATTTCTTGGCCAAATATACTAATCTGTGTTTGTGAATCCTCAGATCTAGTGGAAGCTCTTTTAAAGGTATGTTGCCTGCTTTCGTAAGCCTCAAGAGTTGACAAATTTAAAAGTGAAACAGACTGCTCTAATTCTTTTGCTTTTATTAAAATTTCATTCAAAACAGTCTCAGCTACCATCAGTAGCTTGTATTTTTCATTTTCTTTGTTACTAGTTTCTGTTTGCCATTTATCAAGCATTTGTTTAAAAATATCTTCTTTAGGAAAAATTTTCTCTAGCTGTGAGGAAACATTGTCCATAGAAAAATGTGCTTCTGGACTTGCAAGACCGATTGTACTTAAATTCTGTGAAAGTTTAAGGTTATCCAGATGTGAGCCTTTTACTGGGCTTGATAAATTATTCTTGATAGCATATAATCCTTGCAAAACTGTATCAACTATTTCACTTGCTGTCGCAAGTAGGTTAGCAAGTAAAGCTGTTAAATTGACCATTCCTCTGTTTTGCTTTACTATTTGAAATTCACTCATAATTGTTTCCAGAATATTGCATACTGTATCGTTGGCATACATTTTTAGCTCCCCAGTGGGGAGTTCTGTTCTCACTGAGGGTTTTTTTGTGTCGTCTGTTGACAGTAGATGTTGCAGCACAATGGCAGTCTTGGATTGACTGCCTCTTGGAGTCTTCTCTCCAGGACCTAACTTGGTCTTGCTTTTGGCCTTAATGCCACTAGTTCCTAGCTGTGGTTTTATTCCAAGTTTAGGCAAAGAAGTAGCTCTTGGTTTTGTTTCAATTTTTTTCCCAAAACCTGGCCTAAGGCTGCCCTTAGGACCAGCTTTAGAACCGCATGGCCTCAGAGATCGCATTTTATCAGACCGACCTTTAGGGGATGAACTCTCTTCAAGATTCAGCAAAGCAAAATTTGTGATCTTTTTGAGAACCTTTTGCACCAATTCTTCACCCACTCTTAATGGAGAAAATTGCAATAGGGTAATTTCTAGTGAAGTGACACTTTTAATGCGTGTGTAAGGATGCGCTTTCAGTATCACACGTCCAGGGGGAGCATTTCTTTTTTCTGCTTGTTTCAATACCTTAAAACATGATGGATTCATGGGCCGTTCATCACTGCCAGATGTTTCTGATTCTCTCCTGGTCTCATTTTCAAATAAGGATGTCACAACTATGGAGAACATTTTTCCATAAACACTTTCAATTATGTCATGTGCGACACTGCTTATATGTGACTGCAAGGGCTTTTTGTGTGCTAATGATGTTTTAATTTTAGAATCAGATGTAAAGTATGAGAGTTCATTAAATGGAGGCCAATGGCCTATGTCTTCCATTACCCTTTGATATACCTTCTTTAAAATTTTCTTAACTGCACTTAACAAAGCAGGTGCTTTTTCCTGTCTGGATTCTCCATTTCTAAATATTTCCTCTAAAACCCTTTTCAAGTTTTCCCCTTCTGTTATAATTTGGTTTTGATCTTCAGACAAGAGAGACAGTTCAGTACTGTCTTCTATCTTTCCTCGAACTGGCAATATTTCATTTTGTACAGCAGCCTGTTGTGTGAAGAGAATAGTTTTCTGTTTTGTGTAAAACCTACTTTCTTTTAAAGATATTTTATTATGCAGACATTTCAAGATATTGTTGACAGTTTCACTTGCAATGATGTTTTCCTGGAATGAAGTGTTGTTTGGATATGCATACATCTTTTGGATTTCTAGGTCTATGTCATGTTTAATAAGTATCAAAATGGTACTAGCAATGGTGTCAGCATATTCCTCAAGACTAGCTTGTGATATGTGAATTTCAGGTCCATGTTTTTCTCTGTAATTAGAAAATGCATAATCTGTGGCCTCTTTTCTGAGAATGGTTTCACCTGTTGATATTTTCAGGCTATTCATGCCTGATGGGATTTGGTGTGATTCAAGAAATATGCTGTTTTCTTGTTTACAATTTGTAAATTCTGGGCCGACAAATGGTTTTTCCCTAGTCTTGGAATCAAGGGTAAACAGCAAATCTATTCTTTCTGAGGCAAAAGATTTTAACCTATTGAAAATAGCTTTAGTAATGAAGTTAGCATTTTCCTCACACGGGTCAGGAGCAGATTGCTTGGTGTCTTGTTTCTTAAGTATAGTTGTCTGATTATCATCAGAATAAGCTGATTTCAGCTGTACACCTTTTATCTTTCTTGGTAACAGAAAGCTCTTTCTATTCCTTTCATTGGATGAGTCCATAACAGGAGATGGTTGACACTCTGCTTTGGGAAATGCATCAGACAATGCCAAGGACGATCTTGCAGAAATAGAATCCTTTGCATTTATGCGAAGCATGACAGCAGAACTGAGATTCTGAAGAATAATATTCACCATATCATTGGAAATCATAACAACCCATGACTCAGGAACTGAAAGAGTTGGAATAGCCTTATTTGCGTACTCAGAGAACATTCCAGATTTTGCTCCTAGTTGTATCCCACCTACATTACCTTTAAGACTCGATGCATTGAGTGAGAAATGACTCTCATCCAGTGCTTCCTCACAAATGTCACTTAAGATACTTCCAACAGTATCTAGTATTTGGAACTGAAGTTTTTTTTGATAATCACTTTTATTGAGCAACTCTTCTACAATGTTTCTTGGCCAACCTGGATCAAACCCTCTGTCAGATATGTATTTTTCATACTTGCCTTTAGTAGATACAATATCTAACACTGTGTTAACAATCTGAGTCGTAATACTTTCAGAAACTACAACATTATGAGTTAAGAATGAACTTTTAATTTCTTTATCTAACTTAAGTTTGATTCCTTGTAAAATCTGTCTAGCCACTTGTGTCGCATATATATTTAATTTAGATACAGTCAGTTGACATACTATGGTGTTCTTTCCTGACTTATTATTATCCACTGAGCAACAGGAAGATTGATCTCCAGAATATAAATCTTTGGTTGATAACCATGGTTGGCTTAAAGCAGTCATATCCTGCTGGAAAGGCAAAGTCACTGGAACTGTGAAACTGATATGAGGACAAAAGAGAGATTTTACTTTGGAAGTAGCAAACATTTCTAAATTTGTTAATACTGACTGTATGATATCTTCAACTACATTTCCTTTGGGTAGTTTTTCAATGTTGAATGTAGGCTGAAGTGTATATCGACTTCTGTCCAGTAAGGAGGAAAACACAGAGGCCTTTCCTCCACTGGCATGTTCAGGAAAAGAGATGTTTGCTGGAATGGTGATAGTGTCACATTTATTTTCATTTGCATTTCTATCTATCACGGCAGCAGAATAAAGTTTTTGAAATACGGTTCTCACAACATCACCTGAAACGATGGTTACATCTGCTTCTGACACTAAAGAACACATTGTTTTATCCAGAGATTGAACAGATGTTTGAGTAACTGATTCATTGCCAGCATGAGAGATGTCAGATAAATGGGACTGGGGGAAAGGAAGTACATTTAATTGATCAATTAAATCATTCTGAAAAATTTTATTCAGAATATTTCTTATAATGGGTGCAATTGGGGACTTTTGTGGCTCTTTGAGTTCTACTTCAATTTTTTTCAATGTTCTTTCTAATTTCTGTTGTGCAAGAGAATCTGATTTAGTTTCTTCTTCTGGTGGTTGTTCTGCCCCAGCACTTTCTTTCCCTGTATCTTCAGGATCTTCTAGATAGGAGTCTGGCCCAGCTCCTCCAGGAAGAAAATTTCCATAGGTTGGCCTGTATTTGTAATTTTCAATGTCTCTCTCTTCGGGTTCAGTTTCATCAAACATATCTGGAGACATCACATCTAAAATTAAATTGACTAGCTTCTTCAGCATTTGTTTCTGTTGTAGTGGCTTGTGTATACATGTTTCCAAATCTGGCAAGCTCACATTTAATTCAGTTTGAATAGCCTTCAAAATAGCACTTGACACCTTCTTTGCATGCACTTGTAAAGCAGACTGTAACAGTTCAAGTGGGTTAGCCCAAATGTTGCTACTTTCCTTTTCCCAGTCTGTCTTCTTGCTCTTTTTATCTCCATTGAGGATAGTGCCCAGAGTTTCAGAATTTCTATTGACAAACGCTTCCAATTTAGCAAGAACTGTTTCAAGGATGTCTGAAGTCATGACTTCCAGTTTATTTAGGCACTTTTCTTTTATGCTCCCTGTTTTGGGGGCACTAGTTTTCTCCTCATTGGTGGTCACCTCTTGACTGCCTTGCTGGATCATGCTGGACACCATGCTCGAGATTATGTCATAGCACCTGCTCATTTCTTCAATAAGTGAAGCAAATGAGAGGCTGTCAAGGTCAATATACTTCGAGATAGCTTTAATGTCTGAACTTGTGAAACTGCTCTTCATCTCGGCACTGCATAATTTTGTAACAATATCTTCCAGAATTGTATGAGAAATGAGATGAATATCAGGCTGTAATGCAGTGGTTGTTCTCAAATTCTCATCAATCCACTCTCTTTTTGGCTCATTATCGGATGGGGGAGAACACGAATGGTCTCCTACGAGTGTGCATAACATGTCGTATAAGGTATCTCCAATTCTGTCTAATACTTGTAATCTGGAAAATTCGTGAACTCCCTTTTGCTTAGGAGGACAATGAAAAGGAGAAAATGTTTGTTGATCAATGTCAGCAGTTCCATATGAAATTTTAGATCTTTGCTTCTTTGAAGGGAGTGTAACATTGCTTTCATCTGTCTTCCCACTTAACACTTCACAAATGCAAGTTGCTAATGAACTTGTCATAATGTCATTGTTTAGCTTTGTGACAATATAGTCAAATTCCTTTTCTGTGTCATCAAGAAATCCTGTATCTGTAAAGTTCTTGGGAGGGCCCCTCTGCCTATGATGTAGATTTTTCTGATTGTATTTCAGTTCCTTCTGGATAGTATCCAGAACAATTTTTACCACTTTAGTTGTATATGCTCCAAGTTGAGATTGAAACAAAGATTTCTTGCCAGATGCCGGCTTCAAACCGGTAGCATGGCTTTCTGGTTTGAAGCATTTTTGCAATTTTGGACAAATAAATGACTTAAGCATCTTAAAAATTGTTTGAGTGATCTTATTATCAACATGAACTATAGGTTCAGATATTGATTCAATTTCTGCAGATTCTAACCAGGGAGGTTTTATAGGTTCTACATCAAGTGCTGCTAAAAATTTCATGTTCTTCTTACTCTCTAACCATACTTCTAATGGGTCTTTATATGGTATGTCAACATCATCTAGAGAAGTCTGGTGCACTGATGGTACTGCTGAAGAAACAGGATGTTTGGTGGCATTGGTGATGTCACTAGAAGCCACATGAAGTATTTTTAACACAACATCTGCTGTTTCCTGAGCTACTGTATGTATTTCTGACACAGAGAACATCTGGTCCATCCACTCTTGATGTGACAGACCTTGTGGTTTTCTTGAGGTAAGAAGTGAAGTTTCTTGACCATTTTTATTATCTAAGTGATCAGGGGACACAGAAGATATGTCTTTGAGCACTTCTAATAAAATACTTGTAATTATGTTTTCCGATGCTTTTTGTATTTGATGCTTTTCATCATGGCTGAAAATCCGAATGTCTTTATTGAAACATGGCTTGTCCTCAAAAAGGTTTTTAATATTAAATGTTTTAAGGTCACTCTTTGAACCCCAATCCTGAAATGCCACTTTGCCCTGACAAGCAGGCTCTGTAGGTGAGTTGATATTTCTTTTGAATTTAAGACCAGCATTTCCCCTTGATGACCAGTGATGAGGAACCTGTTCTTGTAATTTTGCTTTTTCATCCCTGATAGATGAAATCAGCACATTTTCCACAATTTTGTTTATTTCTTCATTTTCATCTTCGGAATAAAGAGCCATGCCAGGAACGTTAACAGGTGGAAATTGTTGCCCGTATCTAGGACGACTATCAGCTACTGTAGTGCCGGTGAGTCTGTTCTCTTCTTCAGTGTCAGAAGGACTGCTCAGTCTGGGGCGTCTACTCTTCTGGATGTTTGTTTTCACTGGTTTCCGATGTAGCTGAGTCAAGATATCATCAAGTAGCTGAAGGATGACCACCGTTTCTTCAGTTGCAATAAGGCTATCATTATTAAGTCCAATTTGTATATGACCTAGTACAATGCCAATTGCTTCCTTTATGTAATCAATCAGAGAGGACTGGGACAAACTACTTGACACCATATTTTGTATTTCTTGTTTGGTGAACAAATTGGCTGCACCAGGCTCAGCACTAGCTTTCCTTTTGCTGGCTCCCTGAAGGAATGTACATATTGGATGTTTCATTTGTTGCTGATAAGCAGGTTCATGTATGTTTTCAATATGAGCAAGTTCATTTTGCTTAGAAGATGCAAGAGCTATCAGCTTTTCTACAATCATGTGAACCATGTCTTCTGCAATATCACTCATGTTCTCTAAAGTCACTGCCATCAGTGAAGCTTTTAAAGATTTTTCCTTGGGGGAAATGAAATTTTCTCCGCTGGCTCTTAAGTTTGATTTAAAGTGGGCCAACACATCTTCTTGTGAAAATACCTCAATACATTTTTTCTCGATTGCAGACTGTAGCTTCTCAAGCACATTTTCTACAATTTCACCAGCTGCTGAGGAGATAGCACCACTGGACAGCAAGTCTCCTTTGTCAGTATCGGTTGTGTCAACCAAAACTTTAGCCGTAACCGAGGGAAGGGTGGGAATGGGCTGGGTTAAATCAGACAGCATTTCTTGAAAAATGCTTCCTAAAATCAACTCAGTTTCCTCTTTTAGGTAACATTTAAAGTTACCAAAGGTATTTTTTAACTCTTGCATCTCACTTATAGCCTTCGCTTTCCCATCAGAAGACAATGGGCATTCTAAGTCATCCGTGTGAGTGGTAGCATTCTTAGATTCCTTTGTGTCTGTTTCAGTTGATGTGAAAAGGTTACTATCGGGCTTATCAGCTTTGATCTTGGGGTCTTTATAGATCTCACTATGTTTGATTTCAGAGGTTATAGGTTGTTCTGTCCTGTGATGAGTTTTTTCCACAACTGTTCTTTCTTTATGGGCAGAAGATGGCTTTAAAGGTGTGGCTGGTTGCCTCATTGACCTGTCAGCTGCTGCCTTTATACAGGGCTCTGCCTGAAATATCTTAGTTGTTTCCCATATAAATGTATCACTGCATGTGCTACAGCAACTCAAACTGTCTGAAGACTGGAGGGAGCCAGCAGACATTGGGTATGTACTACTTTGCAACCTTTCTTCATATTTTGTGATGGCTGGGTATAATATACTGGTTACTGCAGCCACAACCCATGTCATTACATTATGAATTATACTGTTCAGTTCTTCAGAGGTTACCTGGAAAGAAGGCGAGCAAGGATACAAGGAAAATCAAATATAAATTTACTCTATTCTAGGGATGGGGGCTAACCTTTAATTTCATATGTCAAACAGTGCATAGCTAGAATACAGTCATGGTGTATAGAGAGAACATAGGAAAGGGTCTCTTTAGAATATCAGAAATTTCAAGTTGGTTTATTATCCATGGCTGTGATCTAGTCTTTGAATATGATTCCCTTTGGTTCAACAGCCCTTGGAAGTCTTATTTTTAGCATTTAGTACTGGAGTGAAATGGCTTTGTGGTTAAAAAAATTAGCCAAGTGGGTGCCTGGGCTCATACAAAAGAAATGCTTTGGCAAGAAGTAAAACTGTGTTTATGATCTAGGAAATATTTATTAAAAATACAGACCATATTACCTCTAACAGACTATTTCATGAAGCAAATTTGCCGTCAAAACATTTATGTGCTTTCATGGAGATAGCCTCCTTCTGCTTGGGCATCTGTTTAGCTAGGATATAAGGATAAAATTAAGGCCCCCTAGTGGCAAGAGTCAGCCTGTGGCCTCTGTGACCTGCCCAAGTATCTTCCTCCTTCAATTGGCTGTGTTTATATATGCAAATAACTATAGCTAATTTTTAAGAGTTAATTGATGGGCAACAATTAGCACGGACAATTTAGGGAGAATGAATAGGCTTTGGGTCCAACAAAATATTATCAGTGCAAACTATCTTGGATAGGGGGCAGAGGACAGATGATGAATTAAAGAAACATCTTAATTTAGGTAGAAAAAAGGGCTTAGCTAGAAATGGGGTTCAAAGAGAGCCAAGAAGGCTGAGCAATAGAGGGAGGTTGGGGTCCCCTTCTATCTGAGCTGAAGTATAAATCCAGGGACCAAACATGAATGACCATTTCCTCAGTGGTGAATTATGCTCACTGTCACAGTTCAGACTGGCTCATGGATAGAACAAAAGTGTATCTGTAAAACTCTGTATCTGTTTATATCCTCCTACTTATTGCAGATGTATTTTGGGAACACAAAAATCCTCTTGCCTGTAATAAAACAGTATGGTTTTACGTTGTTACCTTCTAAGCAGCCAGACCCAGAATACTTACCTTCCATAGGAACTGTACTCCTCAAGGCTATATACAAGTCAGTGGCATCAAAGGCTGAACACCTGGTATTTGGGCACCAGGGGGAATAATAGGATCCCTATAATGTACTTGTTGCCCCCAGCCCAATTATCTCCATGTTAGCTCCCAGATGGTTTAGGTTTAGGCCAACATTGAAAGAAAAGTTAACACCTTGCTGTATGTAGCATACTCTCTCCTGACCCATTAGAGGGTTGAAGGCCAACCCAGGGATGAGTCATTTTATTCCTCTCTTAATACGTTTTTATTATAATAAAGTACACATGATATAAAATTTTTCATTTTACCATTTTAAAGCAAGGAGTCCAGTGGCATAACATACATTCACAATACTGTGCAACCTTCACAACTATCTAGTTCTTTCACTGCATTTATTTTTTTAACCACAGACTGGAAAATGGCAATTGAGTTTGCAAAACATATTTTGGGATGATAGCATATGGTTGAAAAACACTTGTTTTACATAAACATGTAGTAAAGCAAGCACTTCTAAGAATAATATCCAGACATAAAAAGAGAAGTTACTAACTCATTCTTAGTTTAAATTAATCTAAATCCATTCTAATACATATGAACTGAGAATTTCAATATGTATTATTTTCTTATTATCAGAGATCATATATAGCAGACCTACCTTTTTGGTTTTAGGACAGTTGAGAAGAAGCATTTATAAGCTTGATATACAAAATAGGGGCATTCTTAAAATAATTTTTAATGAAGTGAAATGTGATAAATACTCTATGATTTTCAGCTTATTTTCACTATATTATTAAACTGAGAAATATCCTTCTTTTGGTGCCAGTGTGTCTTTGTGTTTGTTGCATGGTATATAAGTTGAACTGGTGTATGTGTGAAAGAGTGTGTGAGAGTGTGTGCTACTTCCCTGAACCCCTGATTTGCTTATGTTTGCTGTCTAGCCCCAGAGCTGGGGCTTATCAAATTCACCTTCTTATCTTTGCCTGGTCCAAATTGCAGTTCTCAGGTGATCACGAAGAGTAGCCAACCTAAGATTCTTCTTGCTCCCGAGAAAATTAAGAGACAAATCCAGGCAGCCTGGCTCGCCTGCTTGCGGCGCAGGATGCTCATCCCTGAGCCAGGTCTGCAGTGGACTGCAAAGGCATTTCCCTTAATGGCTTCCCATTATGGAATGGGTTTGTGATATGTGATGCTCTTCCTGTGATAGCTAGACCTCCTAAAGCTCCCTAACCTATCCTCCTGAGCCCCCTTGCCCAAAGAGCCAACACTCTCTCTTAACATTGACTTTGGACCCCGCAAAACCTAAGATTAACTGAGAGTGAAAGTCAAGGAAGAGAAAAGGGCAAAGAGGGAGAATGACTGTCAACAGATGATTGCTGGTTGTCTGATTCACATATTTTTCTCTTATACTGTATTAGAAAATATCCTTAATATGTTGCTTTTTGAGTGAATTTCATCATACTTACTTTTTGTTGACAGCAGATTTGATGGCTGCTCTGTTGCCTGAAAAGTCAAGAGAGATTGATTTTATAACTTGGGCTAATAATTTATGGAACGTTCCCTCAAATTCTGATATTAGATTCTTGATCCACCAGAGTTACGTTTATTTTGTAGTGAGCTGGGAAGAACATGGGGTTGGAGGCAGAGAGGATAGGTGAGTCCCTTTTACCTGCTCTGCTTGATCAGAGCTGTCTCATAATTAACTTTCTACCAACTCCTCAAAACTCCTAGTTTCCTCCCCCTGCTCTACAGTAAGAAAACATCTGAAGATCATTATTTGATAATGATTGATTAAAATTATAGTTTTCTAATCATATTCAATACCAGATTAGATGAAGCCCTTTTCTAGGTATGATGATATTGTATTCTATGTTCTAATCAGAATTAGACACTTACTTTTTTGGTGAATCCTGAGGAGGGATGATTGTCTGAGCTGCAGGTAGATTTTCAGACGGAAAAAAGAAAATTATTATTTTTTGGTATCTTTTACAAGCTACTTGTAAAATGGTAATTAACATATCTTACTAGGTCCTTATTCCCTGTGGTTTCCCTCTGTTTCAACTCTACAGGGGCTTCTGGTGTGGCACAAAATATACCTTAAAACCTGGAGCCATTGCCCACCTTGCCGTCCTAATCTCCGGCCATGTATTCTGTAGTCCAAAGGTACTGAACAACATTCAATTCCCTACACGTGTCACGTTTTTCACACCCGAGGGCCTTTGCCATTACTATTCCATTTGTCTGCAACTCTTGTGTCCCTCTTTTAAACTTCCCATCCTTTAGGGTTTGTTCATCTTGTGCCACCTCCTCCAGAAAATCTTCCTTGCAGTCTGCCCAGGCATCCTCTGTCAGTGTCCCCAAAAGGCCCTTTTATTATATAGAATTTCCTATGCTGTTTTAGAATGACTGGTTTTTAGTGCCTGACACATAGCGAGCACCCAATACCATTTATTTGTTAAATGAATTCTTTATATATGTATTTGCTCAAAGTTTGTTCATTAGTCTTCATATCATTAATCTCTTCCCACTCAAACACTGTCTAACATGTTTGTATAACATATAGTTCCACAAGTGGATTTTAGTGAATATATCTGGATAATGATACTAGAGCAAATCTTCATATAGAACATGTCCATAGGAATCCTGGAATGGTGCATATCAAATATGGAAAAACATGATTAAATGAAAGTCTTAGACAAACAGACTTCTCTGAATAATAGAAGGTAGTATTACCAATTAGGGCTGGTTCAAAGTCAAGGTAAATTGGTATTTATTTTTTCCCAATAAATGTCAAGTGTATTGTGAGTAATCAATAAATTCCAATGGTCTGTTTTAAAAGTTTTACTTAAATTGTATGTAACTTCTTGAGTTTCTTTGTGGGCGAGTATGTTTTTGCATGCGTTCAGTTTTGGAAAGGAAGGAGCTGGAATTAATACTGTGCAAGCTTGATAAATTAAGTGTGAAGATAACACTGTTGTAGTGGTTTTAGATTATGCCCACAAATTCTTTGATACTCCTCCCTCGAAAGGGTGAAGGTTAATTCTCTTCCTCTTGAGCATGGACTGGACTTAGTGACTCGCTTCTAATGAACAGCATATGATGGAAGTGATGGTGTGTAACTTCTGAGACAAGATCATAAGATATACTGTGACTTCAGCCCCTCTCTCTTGGATCACTTGCTCTAGGGGAAGCCAGCTGCCATATCATGAGGATACTCAGGAAGTTCTATGGAGAGGACCACATGGTGAGAAACTGAGACCTCCTGCCAACAGCCCTTTGAGCATGCCACTTTGGAAGTGAATCCTCCAGTCCCAATCAAGCTTTCAGATGACTGCAGCACTGCTGGATGATACCTTGACTGTAACCTCATGGGACACCCTGAGTCAGAATGACCTAGCTAAGCTGCACCTGTATTCCTGACCACAGAAAGTGTAAGAAGATGATTTGTTTTGTTTTGTTTTTTAAGTCGCCAAATTTTAGGGTAATTTGCTACTCAGAAATAGGTATCTAATGCAACTTCTTTTTTAAATTTTTTTTGAGACAGAGTCTCACACTGTTGCCCTGGCTAGAGCGCAGTGGCCTCATCATAGCTCACTACAACCTCAAATTCATGAGCTCAAGCGATCCTCCTGCCTCAGCTTCCTGGGTAGCTGGGACTATAGGCACACACAACCACACCCGGCTAAATTTTCTATTTTTAGTAGAGATGGGGTCTCACTCTTGCTCAGGCTGGTCTCAAATTCCTAACCTTAAGTGATCCTTCCACCTCTGCCTCCCACAGTGCTAGGATTACAGGCATGAGCCACTGTGCCTGGCCTGTAATGCAACTTCTAAAAAAATAAATAACTCTATGGTTTCCAGCAATACAGAGGATTAAATATCTTGAAGAGCCTAAATGTGTAAAACGTATTAGAAATGCAATGGGAATGTGATAGAAACACATTTATAATGGAGAATTTCAATACACATCTTTGACGGCTGCACACATCTAGTACACAGTAAGAAAAGATAGTCTAGTAGACAAAAGATAGAATAATTGAATAATGTCAATAACCATAACTTAATATTCATTTAGAGTCTCTTATACCATTCAAGCAGAGAATATATGTTTTTTGGAATGGCCACGAAACACTTTCAAATATCAATCACATATTTGGCCACAAAGAAAACCTTAACAACTTTAATGTGGTAGAGATTTCCCGGCTAAATTCTATGAACGTAATAAAAAATGTGACCCAACATGTTAATTTCTTGGCAATTAAGAAACATACTTATGGATAACTCTTAGATCAAAGAAGGAATTAAAAGGAGATAGAATATTCTACCTTGAAAAGTACACCTTATATCAAACCTTATGGGAAATAACAAAAGCTGTTCTCATAGGTTTTGATATAAAGTGTTCTTTTTCTTGCTTCTCCCATGAGTCCTAGACCAGTATCTCTAACTTCTTGCTTGACTGCTTCACTTACATGTCCTACTTGGATGCCTGCAGGCATCTCAAACTCATAAAAATATTCAAAGCTGAACTATTTCTTTTCTTCCAAACATGTTTCTCCTTCTGTATTACCTATCTACTGAATAGCACCACTCTTCACTATCCACTTAGTTGCCCAGTCAAGATATCTGGGTGTTGTCCTCAACTCCTTCATCTCTCATATTCAATTAGTAAACAAATCTCGGCCATTCAATTTCCTTAATTTAAGTCAAATCTAGGTCCAACTCTTTATCCTCACTGCCACTGCATTTTTCAGGACTCATTTCTCACCTTGACTATTATAATAACTTCCTTAATTGTAGTTAAGGGGCAGCATGGTGTTATGGTAAGGATTGATTAAGACAGACATGGGTTCAGACTTTGGCTTTGCCACATACTGTGTGATCTTGGGCTAGATAATTTGCTATTCTGAGGCTTAGTTTACTTATATGTAGAATGGTAGATAACAATATTACTGACCTCATTATTGAGATGGTTCAATGAGGGGATATAAATGTCTTAACATAGTACCTGGTACATAGCAAGTGTTTAATAAATGCTGTTATTATTTTTATTGTCTCTTTACTTCTAATTCCATTTTCTCACTTTTGAAAAGGCCAATTCTCACCACGTTATGCCCCTGCTGATATTTTTCAACAGTTACTCTTGGATAAATGGAAAAAAGGTCAATGCTTGGCATGGCCTTCCACTATCTCAATGGTCCAAGTTTTTTTTTTTTTATTTATTTTGGCATATCATGGGGGTACAAATTTTAAGGTTTCAAAAAGTGTCCCTCCCCCCTCCCCCCACAAGTCTGAGCTTCCAGCGTGACCATCCCTTATCTACCGGTCAAGTGTCATCTTGTGTAATTCTCTAACTTGAACTTTTAGCTGAAGAAATTCTAAACACACTATGCTCTAATGTTTATATCTTGGTAAATGTATTTCCTTCTTCTGATAGGCTTTTTCTACCGTCTTCCACTTGTTTGCCTAGAAAATTATTTCTCCTCCTTTACTTGTAGCTCAACTGTGGCTTCTTCTATAAAAGCTTCCTCTGCTTCCCTATGCTTCTACTGGACTTTGTATATACCTCCAGTATGTACTTATCATATTGGGTTGTGATTATTGACGTATCTTTTTCCCACTAAACTGTAAAAACCCAGGATAGGGATCATGGTTTTTCTACTTTGTATGTTCAATAATTAGCATAGTGACTGGCATGTAGCAGGAGAGCTCAATAAATGTTAGTTAAGTGAATGAATTAATTAATGGGTTGTAAGATATACTTAATAATTGTTGATAATGTTTACCTGAGTCATAGCTGAAGCTTGACTTCTTAGTCATTTTTATACTCGAATCAGCATGTGTCACCTATGTATGCCATGAGAAAAATTCAGCAATGAAACAAAAGTCCCCAAAGGAGTTTTTAAATAATATGAACATTGGCTATTTTTCACATATAAAATATAAAAATTTAAGAAAATGATTTAATAACTTATTTTAAATGCCCACTTTAACAAATATCCATATTTTATTTGTTTTAGATTATATATATATTAGTTTCATAATTCTAAGGTTCATTGAATTTATCGGTATTCCAAAATTAACTGAAGAGACACACTGATCAGCATGGAAGGTAATCACCTGAACAGTTAAAATAAAATAACGTGTTTCTATTTTTTATTTTAGAGGTGGGGTCTCGCTCTTGCCCAGGCTGGTCTCGACCTCCTGAGCTCAAATGGTCCTCCCGCCTCAGCCTCCCAGAGTGCTAGGATTACAGGCATGAGCCACTGTGCCTGGCCAATGTGAGGTTTTTAAACAAAGCTAACTATAGGAGAAACAGAGAGCGGGTTCTCTGCAAACATGGAATGTGACTCTTTGACCTGGCCAAGAATTCTACTTGCTTTGGTAATTGAACAGGGAGATAAATTTAACAAAGTAGACTTAATTTTTTTCCAGGCCTGAGAGATGAACACAAGCCACCAGAAGTAGTTTCGTGACACTGGTGGGATGGGCAAAACAAGTTGGAAAATAGTGTCTTATTCTATTGTCATAAAATGTTCATGCTATTTGTCAAAATAAATGTGATATTTGTTACTGTTTGATGTACTCATGTTATCCAACATATTTCAAAGCCTCCTTTAGAAACTGGTGATCTAAACTGGTTTATTGACTTTTTTTGGTGAGATATGTAGTTATTAAGTTTGCCATCCAGGGCATACTCAGGGGATGCTTTTTTTCTGGCTCTATTCTGAGGCTAGTAAAAAAATTAATTCCTATGTACAATTATTAAACTATTAATATCTCAAAGTAGTTAAGTTTCTTTCTTTAGACACTGACTATACTGATTATGGATGTTGACAGAGTAGCACTGTGCTCTGCATACAGCAGGTGTTTCATAAATGTTTATCAATGAAGCCTATTGTGGCAGACGTGCTATATTTTAGCCATTACACATAAGTGAATCTGTCACTTACTATGTATTTAACACAGGATATGGCACATGATGTCACTCTTTAGCTTAGTTATATAGATTTCATTTGGGAAGACGTCAGTAATTTCCTGCTTGATAACTTTTTAGAGCAGCAGAACCAATTATTAATAATACAGTGCTAACAGAGCCAAGGATGTGTATTTCATTCCTGTAATACCTAGTTGGCAGCCCACACAGGCAACCTATGCTGTGACCAAGAGCTGCACCATGAATGTCTGCTGTTAACTTTCCAATATTAGATGGCTGAGCACTGGTGACAAAGGGAACAGAGTGAGACACTATGGCTGTTCCTGCACCAGGCAGCAGCACTAGAAGAGAAGTGACTCACAAAAGCTCAGTCTGATGCTTCCTCTCCAGGGCACAAATATGTACCCTGAATCTCTTGTAGCTCACCAGTTAGGAAGCCCATTACCTAAGGGCTATTAAGTGGGAACACTCAAGTTGCTTCAGGTAATCACTGTTAAAAATTAAAAATTGAGACAAATACAGTATTCAAATTTGGATGTCTCTAACAAATTTAAAATCTCAGGCTCACCAGTTTTCTTTTGCTAGTTGACAAATTGTTACTGGTATTCTCCACATTTGTAGCTTGGCAATACTAAAATCAATGATAGCCATGAACACTGATACACTGAAGTAGCTTAGGACTATTACAGGGGTTTTCACTTCAATTTTTATAAAATCTTACTGTAGTGCCTAGCAAATTTCAGGAGGTAAGTCTGCTCTAAATTGTCACTTAATGAATGAAAGTGTTTTATACCAATATTTGATCATAATTTCATACTTCATTTGTTCTGTGTATATCTGGTACAAAAGAAATGTTACTTGCTTCTTGTCTTGGAACATCTGGTAGAGGTTGTTTGGTGACACTTGATGTTTTAGCAGAAACAGCTGGGGTGAGAAATGAGGCACTTCTCATTCCTAGGGGAAAGAAATAATGTTAAAGATAAGAAATGACATAGTTTTCATTGCTGGGTACCATAATGTCTGGTATCACCATTGTCAAGGGTGTATTTACTTATGCAAGTTAAGGCAGTAGCTCCAAGGATAATATGACTTGATGATTTTTTTGAATTTCCTTGCCTGAAAACTTCCAGTGGCTCATCACTGCCCTTAGGAACAAGCCTGAACTCCCTAACTTCTGGCCCTAAATTCCTTTGCCAGCTTAATCTTCCCTCACTCTGCCCCCCTGCCACTAGAATGACCTGTTTTGTACTTTATTCAGTAGGCAAGGGGGAACCACCGAGGACTTTTGAGTAGAGGGATTATATGTCCAAAGCTGTATTTTTGGAAGATTGCATTCACAGCAAAATGTAGGAGAGGTTAAAAGGAAGAAGAAGAGATTAGAGACAAATGCTTGCAACAGTTAATGGCAGGGGTAACATGAATGGAAAGGGAAGGAAGTTTATGAGAGTGTAAGGAGTAGATTAGACAGAATGTGACACCTTTGGGATGCAGAATATGAGCAATAGGAAAGTGTCAAAGATGAGTCAGGTTTTGTGCCTGGATAAAAACAGGAGGAACTGAGAACAGGGTTTTCGAGGATGATGAATTTGGTTTTGTGTATTTGAGATTTGAGGTGCTCCATGGTCACCTGAGTGATGTACTAGTGTTTTTGGTGTAGGTAGAATTCACATGGAAATCTTTTGCAGAGACTGGCAGAGACTTAGCTAACCTCTAGTTCAGCCCTACAGAGATGGGAAATAGGAAGTGTTTTTATGTCTGAGAAGAAAAGATGGCAACAGAGGATGAAGACTTTCCTGGGGAGAATTCTCTGCATCAGGAATCCCAAATCACAAGGTGTCAGGAACTTACTCTGCCTATGAGGATAGGCAGTCACAGAAGGGACTCTAACTTGTCCATACTTTGCAAATTCCAAAAGGCCTATTCAGCCAATAATCACCCCAAAATGTAGGATGATAACATTTATAATCATGAATATTTTCTTATCTTCCTGTACGAAAATGAACACAGATTTTTAATCAGGGGTCAGCCAAACTTGAAAAACTATATGACAGAACTAATTATTTAATTAAAAAACACAGTACAATTATGGATATTATTTATTTATTTACCTCTCTCATTTGAAGGCCATGGTGCTATAGTCGTTTCTTTATCTTGCTGTATGATTTAACAAGCAAAAGCAAAACATTCATTAGTAATTAAGCTTCTAAAAGAGACTTTTGCCTACTCTATGGCAATGAAATTAATACAGTACCTCCCCTTCCCTACCTCTGGTAAGCACTGGTTTCAATGCTAATACATAGTATCAACAGTATCTTGCAGGAGATCTCTGACAGTCACCTAAATGTAACTAATTAAAAATGAAGCAGATTATGTACCCATGTATTTGCATCTTTCCAAACTGACTTTTCCTCCTCTATTCCATATTTTGGTTAAAGACATGGTAATCCACCCAGTGCTCCATTCTAGAAAGCTTAGAGTTATTCCATTTATTTCAGTTAAGGCCAATCTAATCCAATCCAATGTTTATTGCGCACACTGCTTAGAACCGAAAAAATATACATAATTTCCCACCTCAAGAAGCTTATCACCCATTGGAATAGACAGACAAATATGATATAGTGAGTTCTGAGATAGAGGTAAGCCTGGGCACCATGGGAGCACTTAGAAAAGACATCCCACTTCACAAAAATCTATATACGAAAACTGAATCATCATCATGATCATCATGATCATCATCACCTACCCATCTGGATCCACATATCCATCGAGGCACCAGGTCTGGACACAGAGTGACTCCCAAATATCATGAAACTGTATCCTTTCATTCACCGTCATTGTTAGTGCCTCAGTTGGGGCCCTCATTCTTTTTATCTGAACTATCCCAGTAGACTTAAAACTATCTTTCCTCTAATATTATCTCTCTACCATCTATCTCACACACTGTAACCAGATTATCTTTTTGGAATCCAAATCATTCTCATGTCACATCCCTAACTCATAAACCTTCAATGGATTCCATATATACTGAGAGGATATATTCATACTTCAGCAAGGTGTACAAGGCTCTGGCTTTCACCCACCTTTCAATATCAACTCTTGCACTTCCTTGGCTATGCTGGCTCACACCTTCATGCTTTCACTTATAATTTCACTTCCGTCTGCAACACTGCCTCACTATATCCTCATGTCTACTCATCTGGGAAACTCCCACTCGTATTTGAAGACTTAATTCAATGAAACTCTTTCAGAAGGCCGTTTTAGACTTCTCTAGGCAGAACTAGGTTCTAAATCTGCTATGCTCCCACTGAATTTTATTTAATTTATTTATTTATTTATTATTTTTTTGCAATCATACAAGAGGTGGTTTATTTTCTGGCTAGCCAGGGTCCAAGCCCCAGAGCACCAACGCAGTGGCCACTCTCGCAGGCAAGGACCCTGACCGGAACAACAGCATGCCTTTTATCCCCATGGTGCACAAGCTGTGCACAAGCTGACTATGCATGGATCATGGGTTGACCTTTAAAATGATTGGTTGCCCACTATTGCCTTTTGAAATAATTGGCGGGTTGGTTGCCCTCCCACTGCATTTTATATAAATCAAAACTCTCCTCTCATTTTATTGTGAGAACTTTTGTTTAGGTGTGTCTGTCCCTTAGATGGTGATTATGTCTTTTCCATCTTTGTACCCCATATTGTCCACTTCCCCACTTTTCCCTTCTTTCTAGCTTAGCACAAGACCTGGACCACAGTAAGTTCTCAATAAATGTTAGCTATTATCACCATCATCATGATCCTCATGGTGATTACCATCAAATATTTCCATTAGTTTCTGCTAAGTTGCATGGTATTAATACATTTAGCGTGAAGCTGACTCAACACTTTCTTTGGTAGGGGAGGGTTGAGATCTGTGTAGGACCCAATGATCTCTATCCAATCAGTACTAAGCCAAAAATTAATGATCAATACAAAACTTTTGAAACATGCAATTTCTACCTTTTGTTCTGTTGTGTTACTCTGCTCTTCCCGTGGAGAATTTAACATGGTTATTGACTTTTTGATGACAGTCTTGGCGACACTTTGAGAATGGTGAACTGACCCTAAAAGTAAATGAAAGGGAAATCATATAATTTTTAAACAATTTTATTGATGTATAATTGAAGTACAATAAAGTGCATATATTTAAAATGTACAATTTGTTCGGTTTTGACATACATATAAACCCATGAAATCATTATCGCAATAGAGATAACCAACATATCCATCACCCCCAAAAGTTTCCTTGTGCTCTCTAATCGTTCATCCCTCTCTCTGCTGTATTCCAGGCAACCACTGATCCTGCTGTCACTATAAATTAGTTTGCATTTTCTAGAATTTTATGTAAATGGAACCAAACAAGATGTATTATTTTTTGTCTGGCTTCTTTCATTCTGCAGAATTACTTTGAGATTCACCAATATTGTTTCCTGTATTAATAGGTCATTCCTTTTTATTGCTGAACAGTATTCCACGGTATGTATGTACTATGGTTTATCCATTTGCTCATTGAAGGGCATTTAGGTTGTTTCCAGTTTTGGGCTATGATGAATAATGCTGCTATGAACATTGGTGTTCAAGTCTTTATGTGGACATATATTTTCACTTTTATTACCTAGTAGTGGAATGGCTGAATTACATGGTAGATATAAGTTTAATATAAGTTTCCAGAGTATTTTCTGCAGTGGTTGTATCACGTTACATTCCCACTAGTAGTGTAAGAGAGTTCCAGTTGCTCCACATTCTTGCAACTACTTGGTATGATCAGTTATTTAAATTCTAGCCATTTTACTGGGTGTGTAGTCTTATCGTGGTTTAATTTGCATTTCTCTAATGACTAATAATGTTGAACAGCTTTTTATGTGCTTATTTGCCATCTGTATGGCTTCTTCAGTAAAATATCTGTTAGCCCATTTTTATGAGGTTGTTGTGCCTTTGCCCATTTTTATGAGGTTATTACTTCAATATATAATATATGTTTTTATATTTACATCTATTTACAGTGAGCATGCCTTCTGGATGGAGGTCTACAGACCTATATTTTTCTATGTCTACATTTAGGGGCTTGACACATGTGAAGCAGCTATTGTGCAACAGAGCTCTTATTTCAAAAATTTTATATCATTTTTGACTCCTTAAGTACTCTTTACCTTAGCCTTTCATAGGCATCTGCTAGTTTGAGAGTGGAGACAGAGAGGTGAGATTAGAATTTGTAACAGGAGGAATGCCATGATAAACACCAAGGTAATATTCAACACCTGTCAGCCAAAAGTAGGATGACACAGCAAGACAGGACACCTTGTGAGCCATGCAGTTGTCTCAAGAATTTTTCTAACTTTCATCTTCATTTTTTTGTGTAGCAACAGCTTTTAATGCTTAGCTCAGAAAATTCTGTTTTTAAATCAACCAAAGTAATAAAAGACAAAGAAGGTCACTATATAGTGGTGAAGGGTACAGTTCAACAAGAAGACATAACAATTCTAAATATATATGCACCCAACCTTGGTGCACCTAGATTCATAAATCAAACTCTACTTGATCTAAACAAATGGAAAAACAACAACACCATAATAACTGGAGACTTTAACATCCTACTGACAGCACAGGACGGATCCTCCAAACAGAAAATTAACAAAGAAATAATGGACTTGAACAAATGGGCCTGACTGACATTTACAGGACATTCTACCAAAAACCACTGAATATATGTTCTTCTCATCAGCTTATGGGACATTCTCTAGTATTGACCATATCCTAGGATACAATGCACATCTCAAAAAATTAAAATATAGAAATTATACCATGTATCTTTTCAGATCACAGTGGAAATAAATAGAAATCAACCCTAACAGGAAGTCTCATTACTACACAAATTCATGGAAACTAAACAACCTTCTGCTGAATGATCACTTCATAAACGAGGAAATCAAGATGGAAATCAAAAGATTCTTTGAATTGAATGACAAAGGAGACACAAGTTATCAAAACCCGTGGGACACAGCTAAAGCAGTCCTGAGAGGAAAATTTATTTCCATAAATGCCTATATACAAAAGTCAAAAAGATCACAAATAGACAACCTATTGAATCGACTCAAAAAGCTGGAAAAAGAAGAACAAACCGACACCAAACCCAGCAGAAGAAGTGAAATCATTAAGATCAAATCAGAACTAAATGAAATTGACAACAGGGAAATATACAGAAGATTAATAATACAAAAAGTTGGTTCTTTGAAAAAATAAACAAAATTGACACACCTTTGGCTAGACTAACAAAAAGCAGAAAGGAAAAGTCTCTAATAAGCTCCATTAGGAACAATAAAAGAGAAATTACAACTGATGCCACAGAGATACAAGATATAATTTATGAATACTACAAAGACATTTATGAACACAAACTGGAAAATGTGGAGGAAATGGACAAATTCTTACAAACACACAGCCTCCCTAGGCTCAACCATGAAGAAATAGAATTTCTGAACAGAGTAATATCAAGTACTTAAATTGAAACAGCTATAAAAATCCTTCCTAAAAAGAAAAGTCCCAGACCAGATGGTTTCACACGCAAATTTTACCACACCTACAAAGAGGATCTGATGCCTATCCTGCAGAATTAATCCACAACATTGAGAAGGATGGAATCCTCCCCAATACATTTTATGAAGTGAACATAACCCTGAAAGGATGCAACCAGGAAAGGATGCAACAAAAAAGGAAAACTACAGACCAAGATCCCTTATGAATATAGATGTAAAAATTCTCAAAAAATTCTAGCTAATCGAATCCAGGTGCTTATCAAGAAAATAATCCATCACAACCAAGTGGCCTTCATCCCAGGGATGCAGGGATGGTTCAACACATGCAAATCAATAGATGTAATTCACCATATAAACAGAAGCAAAAAAAAGACCATATGATCCTCTAAATAGACACAGAAAAAGCATTTGACAAAATTCAACATCCTTTTATGATAATGCTTAACAAAATAGGCATAGACGGGGCTTACCTAAAAATGATACAAGCCATATACGACAAATCCATAGCCAACATTATACTGAATGGGGAAAAATTGAAAGCATTCCCACTTAGAACTGGAACAAGGCAAGGTTTCCCACTATCTCCATTTCTATTCAACATAGTGCTGGAAGTCCTTGCTATAGCAATCAGACAATGGAGTATAATTAAGGGCATCCAAATGCAAGCAGAAGAGATCAAACTCCCACTCTTGGCTGATGATATGATATTATATCTAGAAAACCCCAAGGATTCAACCAAGAGACTCCTGGAATTGATAAATGAATTCAGTAAAGTCTCAGGATACAAAATCAATACACACAAATTAGAGGCATTCATATACACCAACAATAGTCAAAGTGAGAACTAAAGCAAAGACTCAATTCCCTTCAAAATAGCAACAAAGAAAATAAAGTATCTAGGAATATATTTAACTAAGGATGTAAAAGACCTCTACAGGGAGAACTATGAAACACTGAAGAAGGAAATAGCAGAGGATGTAAATAGGTGGAAGACCACACCATGCTCATGGGTCGGCAGAATCAACATTGTTAAAATGTCTATACTACCCAAAGTGACCTATAGAGTCAATGCAATACCTATTAAAATACCATCATCATTTTTCACAGATATAGAAAAAATAATTTTACGCTTTGTATGAAACCAGAAAAGATCCTGTATATCAAAAGAAATCCTAGGCAATAAAAACAAAATGGGAGGCATCAATTTACTGGACTTCAATATCTACTACAAGGCTATAGTAATTGAAACAGGTTCTGACTGGCACAAGAACAGGGACATTGACCAGTGGAACAGAACAGAGAACCCAGATATAAAACCATCCTCATATAGCCATCTAATCTTCGACAAAGCAGACAAAAACATACACTGGGGAAAAGAATCCTCATTCAATAAATGGTGCTGGGAAAACTGGATAGCCACATGTAGAAGACTGAAACAGGGCCTACACCTTTCACCTCCCACAAAAATGAACTCACACTGGGTAACAGACTTGAACCTTAGGGGTGAAACTATTAGAATTCTAGAGGAAAACGTTGGAAATACTCTTCTAGACATTGGCCTAGGCAAAGAATTTATGAAGAGAGACCCCAAAGGCAATCACAGCAACAACAAAAATAAATAAATGGGACCTGATCAAATTAAAAAGCTTCTGCACAGCCAAAGAAACTGTCAATAGAGCAAACAGACAACCCACAGAATGGGAGAAAATGTTCACAAGCTACACATCCGATAAAGGGCTGATAAGTAGAATCTCTTTAGAATTCAGGAAAATCAGCAAGGAAAAATCAAACCACCGTATCAAAAAGTGGGCAAAGGACATGAACAGAAACTTTGCAAAAGAAGACAGAATAATGGCCAGCAAACATATGAAAAAATGCTCAACATCTCTAATCATCAGGGAAATGCAAATCAAAACCACAATGAGATATCACTGATCTCCAGTGAGAATGGCCTTTATTAACAAGACCCAAAACAATGAATGTTGGCATGGATGTGGAGAGATAGGAACACTTGTACATTGCTGGTGGGACCGCAAACCAGTGCAACCTCTGTGGAAAGCAATATGGAGATACCTTAAAGTGATACAAGTGAATCTACCATTTGATCCAGCAATCCCATTGCTGGTCATCTACCCAAAAGAACAAAAGTCACTCTATGAAAAAAACACCTGCACTCGAATGTTTATAGCAGCCCAATTCACAATTGCAAAGATGTGGAAACAACCGAAGTGCCCATCAATACATGAATGGATTAATAAAATGTGGTATATGTGTACCATGGAATACTATTCAGCTATAAGAAACAACAGTGATATAGCATCTCTTGCATCTTCCTGGCTAGAGCTGGAACCCATTCTATTAAGTGAAGTATCCCAAGAATGAAAAAATAATCACCACATGTACTCACCAGCTAATTGGTATTAACTGATCAACACCTAAGTGGACATATAGGAATAACATCCATCAGGTGTTGGGAAGGTGCGGGGGGAGGGGATGGGTATATACATACATAATGAGTGTGATGTGTACCAACTGAGGGATGGACACACTTGAAGCTCTGACTTGAGGGGGGAGGAGGGGCAAGGGCAATATACATAACCTTAACATTTGTACCCTCATAATATGCTTAAAAAAATAAAAAAATACATTTCAGAAAAATAAAGAAGAAAAAGGGGGATATGACTTAGGGAAAGGTACCAAAGAAAGGCCACTCCTTTAGCAGCTCAGAGATGGTGGAAAGATGGAAGGGTGGTGGGAGACAGTGGCTGAAGGGCAAAGAACTCAGATGTGGCTTCACATTTGCTTTACTCTGGGCCTTGGTTGCTTTAGATAAATGAGATTACTGTGGAGAACAGACAAGAGGGACTATAGCTCCACTCCCCATTTAGGAGAAAGAGATTACTTAGTTCCCCCCCACCCAGCCCCAACCCATACTTCCTCCTCTCCTCATGGGACATGGACCAGCAACTTAGCACCAGGGTGTGGTCAGGCATAGCAAGGCTCTCTCTGAGGTTTTATTTTCTTAAGCTACTCTTGGTTCTCATGTACTGTAAGCATGGCTCAGAAAGGGCTGAGAGTGGAGCTGGGGAGCTTGCAGGGGGAGTCATTGTGGTGGAGGTAAGAAGGCCCTGAGTGTTATGGAGCAGGTAGCCAGAATTGGAGGCAGGGAGGACAGGAAAGCTAGAGGCTCTACTGAGCTCTAGGAGTCCAGAGCATGAGTCATTATGGCAGTGGCAGACTTCAACTGTGAATGCCAACAGGCTAAGTGCTATGTGAATGGAGACAGGGGCCTCTCTCTGGAGACCAAAGGAGATAGTGGACATTCCATCCAAGCAGTCTAACTTTATTCTGCCTCCATGAGGTCATGGAAGGCAGTACTTCCCAAACTTTAACGTGCACATTAAGCACTTGGGGATCTTGTTAAAATGCAGATTATGATTCAGTAGGTCTGGGGCGAGGTCTGTGAATCTGCTTTTCTAATTAGCTCCTAGGTGATGCTCATGGGGCTGGCACTTAAAAAAGAACTGGAAAAATTGTCTTCCATAAACCTGGCCCCTGGTGCCACAAAGGTTGGGGACTGCTATTCTAGGAGACAGAACTGCTGAGCAAGGGTGGCAGCAGCGGTGGCAGCAGCTAGTGAGGCACAGGCTGAAAAAATACCTCAGGAACTTGTTGGGAATGGAAAACTACAGAGATCAGATCAGGAGCAGGAATTGTGAGGAAGTCAGGGCTCTGAATTGTGCTTGGAGGTTGGTCAGCTGCAAACTGTGGGCTGCCCTGCTCATAGGAGTACAGAGGCAGTGACACCAACTGAATAATTAGGGAGTCTATCTAAACCAGATGGCAATAGAAGCTGTATCACTGTTGGTAAGCATTAGTCAAAATCCATCACTGGATAGAAGAGGCTAGAGGATTTATCTGCATGCTAAGCAGAAGAGGCCATTACCAAATCCAGTCTTTCCACAAACTACTAATTTCTAATCATAACATTTCAATCACCTCTGTGTCCTTGGTGTCCTTGGTGTCCTTGGTGTCCTTGGTGTCCTTGGTGTGCTTGGTGTGCTTGGTGTGCTTGGTGTGCTTGGTGTGCTTGGTGTGCTTGGTGTGTTTCCTGGTGAGCCGAAGTGTAATTCGTTTTCTTTGTCTTCGGAGAAACTTCTTAAAGAAATATAATGAAACATTTATTTTTCATAGTGGAGATGACAAAATTATCCCAGAGAGATTCTATTTATTCTTTCATGCCCAATAAGAGGAGCTAACAATCAATATATATGTGGGGTTGTTGGAAGGAATTGGAGGTGATAGGCACTGGTTCTCGATGGAAGGCAATTTGGAAATGTCTGGAGACATTTTTGATGGTCACAAATTGGGGGAGGGGTGTTTCTGGCATGGGTAGAGGCCAGAGATGCTGCTAAACACCCTAGCATGCACAGGATGGCCCCCACAAACAAAGGATTATGTGGCCCCAAATGTCAATCATGCCAAGGTTGAGAGACCCTAGAAGAGAAAGATGTGATGGGGAGGAAGGACAATTACTTTTATAAAATCATCTTGTCTAATTAAAGTTATGCTTTAGTTCTAACTAGACAGAATCGTCTTCTGGGAGAAGGGAAAAACTACCTCCTGCTCCATGAGAACATGGCTTTTTCTCTGTGTGGGAGGCAGTCCAGCATAATGACTGTGCTGGAAACCCTCCAGGCTAGGGACAATGACAATTCTTGGTTGTGCCTCACAACTTGGCAGAAGCAACCATATACATAGACCTCATTTGGGAAAAAGGTGATTACAGCTCCTGTTTCTAACCATTTAGATAGACAAAAGGATTCCAAACTGCATGTGTGCTAATTGGGTTTTCATTAGAGTTATAAGATGTGCGTCCTTAGGTGTCGGCATGGTGGAAGATGACAGCCTTATTATAGTGGTATGAGTCAATTTCGTATGTGAAATAGGTATCCTCGCTCTTCTGTTACCTCTGTAATATTATTAATTTAAATTCATTTCTGTTTTCTTTTTCCAAAAGGATTTGAGATGACCATAGTGTAAGATGCCTACCTGAAACTTTCTACCAGAGGTAGAAGTTAACAGTTGAAGATGGAGGGAGCTCTATAGCTGCCAAAGTGATCTAGCATCACACAGGCAGAATGTTCCAGCCTCATTGCTTCACTGAACTGAACTATGAGCTTGTCTTACTGACTGCTCCTTTATACAGTTTTCATTCCTTCTTCCTTCTCAATCGTCTATTCCTACTAGCGCCTCCTTTTTAAACTTTTTCTTGCACACACATTCTCTCTCTCATTAAACTTCTTTTCTTTTTTGCTTTCCTTATAAAACTTCTTTTTTTCTTTCTCTATCCCTGTTCCCTCCCTGTTTTTGTTATTGGCTGCCCCTTTTGGAACTTATTTTGTTATCTTTGTCTCTTGCTTTCATTATTTTTGCAGTGGCATTTCTTATTGACTTTTCCTTGTTGAACATCTTACTTCCTTCCCTTTCTCTTCCCCTCCTTCTTTCTTTTCTCTTTCTCTCTAATGCTATCATTTTTTGGTAATCTTTTCTTACTCCTTCCTCTTCTCTATCTCAAATTTATTATTGGCCACTACTTTTAAAACTTTTCTTTCTCTCTTTTGTGTAAGTCTTCTTAAAGGCTTCTCATTTTTAAACATTTCTCTTTTTTGTTCTATTTCTGTCTTTTTTTTAATCTTTCTCTCCTTTTTTGTGGACTTTATTCTTACTCGCCCCTTCCTGCTAGTGAAACTGTCTTTCTTTCTCTCATTCTCTCATTTTTTCCTTCTTTATTTTACTTACTTTTAATTGATACTTTTAATACAGTTCCTTATTTCTTTCTTCATTTTGATTTTCCTTTTCTTTCCTTAATCCCTTTCTTTATGTCTTTTTCTCACTCACTTTATTTCTATTTCTATTTTATATCTGTCAGTGTACATACCCGCCTTCCTTCCTTCCTTCTTTCTGCCTTCTTTCTTTCCTTCTGACTTTATTCCTCCCTCCCTTCCCATTCTCTCCTATATTTCCTCTCTCTTTCACTGTGTACTTCTCCCCCTTTCTTTCTAACTCTATCTTTCTATACATTCTTTTTTACTGGCTTCTGCCTTTAAGTTCTATATATCATCTATCTATCTATCTTTCTATCTATCTATCATCTATGTAGCTATCTATTCAGCTATCAATTATCTTTCTTTATGTTTATTTTGTTTTCCTGTCTCCAACCTTACAATCTGTTCCTTACCACATAATTGTACTTGGTTTTCTTATTGGTTCTTCCCTCTCAATCTCATATTCTCTTTCTTTTTTATTTATTTATTTATTTTTTATTTTGGCATATTATGGGGGTACAGATTTTAAGGTTTCAATAAATGCCCATTTCCCCCCCTCCCCCCAAATATTCTCTTTCTTTTAACTCTGTTCCCTGCCAGCTCATCCTTTATAAATAAACTTCTTGCCTCCTTCCTTCCTCCCATTCTTCTTTTATGTTCTTTCTACTGGCTCCTCCTTTTAAATTACTCTCTCTCTTATTCTATCTTTTTAGACATTCTTTTTTAACTTGCTTCTGTATGTTCTCTCTCTCTCTCTCATATCCATCTACTTATTTGCCAAGCCATCTACCTATCTATCTACCCAGCTATTAATCATCTCTTTTTCTGTCTTTATGTTTCTATTTTATTTTCCTGTTTCCAACTTAAAATCTGCCCCTCCCACCCCTGCCAAATTGTACTTGGTTTTCTTATTTGCTCCTCCCTCTCGCTCTCATATTCTCTTCCTTCCTTTAACTGTTCCCTGTTGACTCCTTTATAAACTTCTTTCCTCCTTCCTAAGTTTGTCCTTTCCTTCCTTCTTCCTTCCTCCCTCCTTCTTTCTCTCACTGCATTTTATTCTTTATATCTTTTTTGCACTATGTTTTCTTTATTGGCTCCTTCTTTAAGAATTTATTTTTTTTCTTGCTTGCTTTCATGATTTACTGCAGTGGCATTTCTTACTAGCCCTTGTTGGTTAAACACCTTTCTCGCTTCCCTTCTTTCCTTCCTTGTCTCTCTCCCTCCTTCCTCTCCCCTGTTGAACACTATCATTTTTTGTAGTCTTTTATTACTTCCTCTTCTTTTTGAACATCTCTCTTAAATTTATTTTATTATTGGCACCTCCTTTTAAACTTTTCTTTTTCTTTCTTTTTTGTATAAAGTCTTCTTACAGGCTATTAGATTTTAAACTTTTCCCTTTTGTTCTCTATTTCTGTCTCTATATCTTTCTCTTCTTTTTATCTTTCTGTATACTTTATTCTTACTGGCTCCTTCTTACTTGTGTAATGCTCTCCCTTTCTTTCTGTTTCTATTTCTTCTCTCCTTCCTCCCATCCTTTCTTCTTACTTCCTTTTCTCTTCTTTCCTTATCTTTCTCTCATTCTCATATTTTTACATTTTCTTAAAAAAATTAATTAATCCTTTAAAATCCTTATTTCTTTCTTTTCTTACTCCTTCCTTACTTCGCTTCTCCCATCTTTCCTTTCCTTTCCCTTCCTTTCCCTCTTTCCTCTTCTTTCTTTCCTTCTTCCTTTTCTTTCTCCCTTTTTCTTTTACTGTCTCTCTCTTTCTTCCTTTTCTTTGTCTCCCTTTTTTCCTTTCTTCCTTTTCTTTGTTTCTCTGTCTCTTCCTTTTCTTTCTTTTTCTTTCTTCCTTTTCTTTCTTTCTCTCTCTTATTCCCTGTACCTGTCTGTATGCTGCCTGTTTTCCTTCCTTCTCCCTTTCTCCTTTCCTTATACCTTTATTATCCTATCCTATACATTATTCCCTTTTTCATTATCTATTTACTGGACCCTTTAAAAAAAGTTTTTAATTTCCTTTCTTTTATGCACTGACATTTTTACTGGGTTCTCCTTTTGAAAATCTTCCTCTCTCCCTCCTTCCCTTCCTTCCTTTCTTATATCTTCTTTTCCATTTATACCTCCCTCCTTTCCTAGCTGTCATTCATCCATCCATCTATATTATTTTACTGTAATATTGAACTGGCTTCTTCCTTATAGGTCTCTTTCCCTGATGTTTATAATTGTATGTAATTTTCTTACTAGCTCCTCCTATTCAAGCCCTTCTCTGTCTCTCAGTGTCACATTCCCTCTTTTTAAAAAAATTTTGCTCTTTCCTACAGACTCATCACTTTAACCTTCTTTCTTTCTACCCCTTCCTTCCTATCTTGTCCCCTCCCTTCTTTTCTTTCTTGTCATTGCCTTTTCCTGTGTCTTTTCTCACTCCATTTTGTTCACTGTCTCTCTCTCTCTCTCTTTTCCTGTCTTTCTTTCCATATTCTTACCCTGACTGCATGTTTTCCTTTTTTCTTCCTGTCTCCTGCCCTTCATCCTTACCTACCTAAACTACTTCTTTCCTTCCTTGTTTTTTCCTTTTCTTACGGTCTCTTTCCTTCTTCCATTCATTTAATTTTTTTTATTTTACTGTTTCTGGGTTCTAAACATTTTTCATTTCATCTCTATCTCTTTTGTCCCAACTCTCTCTTTATATCTATTTCATTCAGTCCTTTATGTTGGCATATGCCTTTCAAAGTCCAAGGTGTCTGTCTGGCTGTCTGTCATCTATCTATCTATCTATCTATCTATCTATCTATCTATCTATCTATCTATCTATCTATCATCAACTATCTATCTACTTACCTATCTCCCTGGCTGTTTATCCATCTTTATTTTACTATCTCTCTTTTTAAGTGACTTTTACTTTTTAAATTTCCTCCCCATCAACACAATTGTACCTGATTTTCTTACTGGCTACTCCCTCTCACCCTCATATTCCTTTTCTCTTCTTTAACTCTTTTCCCTATTAAATAATAGGGAACTATTTTCCCTATTAATAGTCATATTTATAAATTTTTTTCATTCTTTCTTATTTTCTTTCCATTCTTTCTTCCTCTTTTTTCTTCCTTCCCCTTTCCCCTTCTATTCTTGTTTTATACTTTTTCTAGTGACTCCTCTTTTTAAACCATTTCTTTCTTTCCCTGTCTTTTTTGTGCTAGTCTTTTTATTGATTTCATATGGTCTTTTTTTAAAAACTGTCTTCTACCTTTAAGATCTGTTCTATAAATCTATCTATCTATCTAATCTGTCTTCCTGCCTTATTTCTGCCATCCTTTCTGTCTACCTAGCTATCATCC